AACAAGTAAACAAATAGGGGGGAAAAAGAAGTTTGAATCTTGAGGCATCGATCGAACTTACCCTGTGTTAGCCCATTCTCCGACCCAACCAAAGCCGTGGTGTAGCCTGTTGATAAAATTATTCATACCAAAAAAAAAAAAAAAAAAAGGACTAAATGAAAATGTCAAATTTCAGGTGGTCTAACTACAGAAAAAGTCCGGCCCATTTTTCGAACATACAATAACCCCAACATTTTTGCTTCTTTTCGAGGTCCCTTGGAGATATTTGTTATTACAGACTTATAGTACAGGCTACACAATCAAGTTGACAAAAATACACAACCAAAGGGCTCAAAGGGGTGGTGACTTTTCTGCGTTTTCGTTTTCCGTTTTACTGTTTCTTTAATATAATCAGGTTCAGGTAAAACTGCATGATGCTTCTATAAACGATTCTGCTCCCGTCACATTAAGCAACTGAATCTTTATTAAACTCAAAGAACAAAGAACCGTTCAAGAAAACCGGGACCGAGAAAAAAACATAAGTTTCATTAAATGTAATCGACACTTTGATGAGATCATTTAACAGAAAACAATTTTACTTGGTTGTATTGGTTGCCATGGGGACCAGCCACTGCAGTGTTTTCTCCATTTCTGCCTTGATTTGTGGGACTGTTAACTGCAGAAAGAAACAGCAGAATTTGGTATATATATTGTGTTTCATCTCCTTAGATTGGTATATATATTGTAATTAAAAAATTTTATCGTTTATTTCTCAAATTTGCAAATAATCCCTTTTCAAGAAAACAGTAAGCGCCACATTACTGACATTACGCTCTTCAGAATTTCCAAAATAGTGGGTATTATTTTATCTTTTTCCTATAATGACTTCTTATTATCTGATTAAGAAAAAAAAAATAAAAAAAATAGTACCTCTTCCTTGAGTTGAAAAGACTGTAATTTGGCGCGTAAAGCAGACTTTATAGTTGGCGGCAGTCCCTGATATAGAGCATCTCTTGTGCTTGGTGGCACCGAATTCGACCTTGTTACCTGATTACAATTTTAGCCATAAGTTCAAAAAAAAATAAAAAATAAAGCGTAAACTCCCTATATAAGAGTATGCACACTTTTACTGAAAAGCAATGTCAACTCCTTTCGGATTCGGATCAACTTTTGAAGGAATGAAAAAATCGAAGCTACTAAGATGTGGCACATATTAAAGGAACATTTTAGAAAGAGAAAAAAATAAATAAATAAGTGAAATCATCCAAAGATCCTTCGTGATAAGTGGACTGGCAAACTCACAAGTGTATCGATTTGGTTGATAATATTTGCATAGTGCAGTGAAAGCCCCGCAGATCCCAAACTCTGGTGATGGTCTTTTGCGGGCGTGTTTCCATCTTTTGAAATAATAATTCCAAAACATTAAAATGAAGAAGAAGAAGAAACTCTATCATAAAGAGAGTACCGTAATATCCAATGAGCAACAAAATAAAATGGCATTTGAACTTTTTACTGAACAATAAACAAAATTGACTACAGATATTTTTTTTTCAAAAATAAAGAAAAGAAGTATTATATACTAACAAATATTCAGTATCACAAGTAGGAAGATCGACGAATGACATATCATACACAATCAAGATTCTCCTTGAAGGGATTTCTTTTTTTTTTTTTTTGGCACCTCGATGAAAATTCGGTGTGGCAGTGGGGTAAAAAATGTTCAAAGGAGTTAATAAGTTTGAAGTACATGGATTCTTACCACTGCTACCGAATGCCGAATGAATCTCCAAATGTAGAAAATGAACTATGTCCACAAGCTTCTCCATAACCTTAACAAAATTCAAAATCATAGACAGAATAAATATAGTACATTGGCAATCACAAAAGATACCTTTGAAATTTGGCTAAATTCATCACGATATTCATATGAAGACACAACTTTATCTTTAAAAGTTACGAAAACATTAAAAGGGGTTGAAAAAGGTTTGCATTTTATTAATAAGTATCTCTTTGTCCAGGGTGCTATTTATAAATATGAATAAATATCAGGAGGGTTTTTATAAGTTTCAAAATTAGCTGCAGCCTCAAGATATTTCTGTAACCCCATAATCTAATATATAAAATACATGAAATTATGATTGATTTTAGTTTTTTTTACAAGATATATATACCTAAATCACATAGGAAAAAAGCATGAAACTAATACCTCCTCCAAGATCTTAGACCACAGTGACTTCTTTTTCAAACTCTTTACATGTTTTTTCTGGGTCTTTAGTTCTGCACGTAAAATTGCGAGGCTGTCTCCTTCTGACAAAATTAAAATAAAATAGTGGGGCAATGTATAAGCTTAATAAAAGCCGTACAATTTAGGGAACATAGAAAAAAAACAAAACATTAAAATGATATTCAACTTTGGTTTGAGATGGAAAACTTCATCATGTTATACAAAGTTACCAATATAGCCAAAAGTTTTGGCATGTAAACATATTGGTCAATAGTTTCGACAAAAGGAAATTAGATAAACTCTGGGCATTCAATAACAGAAAAAAATTACCTCTCAGTGTAGAACTTGAGCTCTCCTCTTCTTGAGCCTTGCGCCGGCAGTCCTGTTCGAATCTGTCCAGTGCATGCATTTCATGGTACAGTTCCTGCAACCTAAACATATTAAACACACTTTTCAAAGTCCAAAAGCACAAAAATAATAATAATAATAATAATAATATATAAAAAAATTAGCACCATATCACGAGATAACTTACTGCTGTGTACTGAACCAACATCATCAACTGTTGCATATCGGCTTCTGCTGCTTCTTTCAACTGTTCGTGAGGGGTGGGATCCATTTCCAATCTAAATTTTATGAAAGTGATCTATGCATTATACATTTATACTTCGGAATCCACTACACGAGATGAAGTACCACAAGAAATGCGAAAAGAAAAAAAAACGGGTGTCAGTAATTACTTCTCGAAAAAACGGTCCAAGTTGTGCCACTGGGGATCCTTACAGCGATTCCCAAAACGAATGACTTCACCAGAAAAGACTTTCAACTCATCCCTGACAAAACGAAAAACCAGGTTAATTATTTTATTTTGGTTTCCATTTTCTTTCTGTAAATCAGGCTAAACTCAAGAGCAACCTCTATAAATTAACCCTTCGAAAAGTAAGTATATACACCTCTTGTCGGATGCAGCAATGCTTAGGAGCTCATCCATGTTCTTCGATATTAACTGTTGTACGCCTTCAGAAGGCAGCACAATCTCTTTCAAATGCCGAATGTTCTCATGTGAAAGAGAGTGCATCAGATTAGCACCTTTAACGACTGTGTTTGCCACCTCAAAGGCCAAAATCGAGATGGGAATCCCCTTAGTGGCTATCCCGGATGCAAAACCACCACTAATGTTCAAATTAGTCATGCTGCTGCCGAGCGTGTCGAGAACATCAACTGCTTTGCCGAGGCCAGCAGTGCCTGCTCGGCCCAAAAGTGAACTCACTTCTGAGACCTGTGATATAAAGCAAGATATATTTAGTTACGCATATACTCCATAACTATTATTAAAAAATAAAGGGATAGATAATCCATCCAAGCGATACATAAATTTTAATTACACGAAAAGTAATTTAGGAGTTCCATATTGTTCAGATCACAAAAATGTTCATGACAATTGATATGTAGATATTAAACATCAAAATATAAAAGGAAATTGTAATCTCCGGACATACGATTGAAAACATAGGCATATAGACAGCTAAACGGAACCTAATTAAACAAATAATTCCGTGTTAAATACTTCCGTGTTATACATCTCATCTAATATTATACTCGAAATCACGAAAGAAAAAGAAAACAACAGCAGCAACAGACCCTGCTAATTCATAGATGGAAAGCATTAAGCTTCTCACAAGATTTTGGAACCTGAAAATTTTAGGCAATTCCAGATGATTTCACAAGCATATATGCGAAAATAATTCCAAAAAATAGAATGCATCAACGACATACCTTAGCCATCGCAACTTGCTTTGATCTCGTTGACCTCGATTTATCCGATGAAACCCTCGACAGACGAGGAATGTCATCATTAAAGTCGTCCAAATTCAGGCCGGGAGGTACCGAACTCAATTCTGGGAAGGAGAAAGGCTCTCTCAATTCCCTATCCTTAACTTCTACATCATTTGGTCTACTATCATCTTCTTTTAAGCCCAATCCACGCGACTGATAAATGATTCCAGAGCCGTAACTCAATCGCCCGTTAACATGTGGAATTGCACTGGATATTACGGTGTCGTCAGTTGACCTTCTCGAGCAAAGCCCACCCATTGGTGACTTTTTTTTTCCTCGTATGACAGGTTTTTATTGCGCAATAATAATCTACACAGGCGTCCACCACAAAATGAGATCGAAATCATTTAGGTCTGAAATGAGCACCAAGGATAAAAATCCCAACTCTGAAGAACAACTGTTCTAACCAAATAAAGCTAAAGAATGCAGTCAATGTACAACTTAAAAGCAAAGAACATGAAAAAGAATGCTGCCCATGAAATTTACAATGATAAAGATTAAAAGGCAAGTCAAACACATGATAACAATCATTAGCAAAACTCAAAATAAAAGCAAAAAAAGAAAGAAAGAACAAAAAGCAAGAGAAAGCAATTTCAAGACCTGCAATTTGTACTGCATAAACCATAGCAAGCAAGTAATGAAAGATAAAGGTGATGACTTGGATCTGATAATCATTACAAAAACCCTTCACAAAACCCAGAAAAAAAGAAAAAAGAGATCGCAACAACGATTACTGAAAACAAAAAGGGAGAAGGGATCGAGCTTATTACAATCATAAATGCCTCATCATCAGCAAGAGTCGAAATCATAGGATCAAATTTCGATTGAGGGCTTAGAAAACTCAGCCCGTCAAAAGGGTCCTCGCAGATAATAACTATCAAGATTCAACAGCGGACAACAACCTTTGTCTCAAATTCAAAGTTCACATTTTTTTTTTTTTT